TGACTCATACTCTTTTCAAATATTAAAACAGAATTGGGGTCCAGGTGCATCCCAAAGAGCTATAATGGATTGTGTATAGGCATTTTTTTGCCCATGTATGTTATGTATTACAAGAGCTCGCGCGCACTGACATTTATCTTGAATTTACGCTCATCTTGTTAATAATGGTCATAAAGAGATAAACATGGTATCAAATTCCTTGAAAAAATATGAGAAATGTCATAAAAGAAAAAAAATGGCGATTCTATGTTTTGTAATGGTGTTACGCGCGAAAACGCGCGCGCATGCTCGTACGCGCGATTTTTTATAAAATGCTTAATATGACCTGAAACGTATACAAAATAAATTTTAGACGATTTTGAGCATTTAAAAAATTTGCGCGCGCACTGACGCGCGGACGTACGCGCACGCGCGCGTTTTTTGACCTGAAATTAACCGGACTGATATTGACCTTAATCATGATAAATATGAATGAAAAATACCTTTTGGTTATGAAGATATGATCATGAGATGATTTTCAGAAAATTTCACAAAATGGCGCCTAGATGACGTCATCAGTCAAGGTCAAGGTTAAAAACCTTACCTTGCTTTGTTTATATGCCTATACATATGTGTGCCAAATTTCAAGTTATTTGATTGAGCCATTGTCAAGTTATCTTGCTAACAAAAAAGTGGTTCAAAATAAAAAAAATAAATAAATAAATAATAATAATAAAGGCGATTTTAACAAAAATATAAGGTGGTCTGTATTAGATACAGCCCACCTGAATATGCAATAACACAATCATGATACATAACTTGTATAGCCATCACTAATATTAAACATAATGACTATTCATAACTTGTCATTGGTGTTTGTAGATACACTAATTACAATTTTCCAATGTGGAATCACAGGACTATAAGATTGTCCTCTACAACACCTTTTTTTATTATTAAAAAAGAGCTGAATATAGTATTCTGACGAACAACCTGTAATACTTTGTGTATTACTTTTTCAAACAGGTGATTAATATTCTTAGAAATAGTTATGAAGTCTACGCCCCACCAAATGTTATTGGCTTGGGCCTGCTCACTCGTGATGAAACTTGCACCTCATTGGTTGAAACTTTCACTTTCTACCTGCCAGAATGACCAGATAACAAAACTGTGTTTCTTCTTGGAAATGTCTGACCACTGGATGTTTACTTTTCCCCCATTCATCCTTTACCTTCATCTTTTATGGACATAAGGCTGCATTTTCAGGGATAATCCCAAGAACTCTGACGAATGACTACTGTGACGTTTGACCAGCGTCACACTTTTCATTATTACTTGGAAAACTTGTACCATAAGTTTTTTTCTACATTTCCATGAAAATTATCATCGTTTTTGGAATGTGCTATCTCAAGACAGTCCTGCTAGCAAAGAACATACGTAACTGTATATGACATACTTAATACATAATAACCATAAATCTGAATACAAAAAAATTATATCATCGCTATGCGATAACAAATGTGGTTATAATCATAATAATGCCTTTGCATATCATACAATAAATAGTCTTATTACAATTTATGATACATACAAATATTCAAAGTCATCTCTTGACGCTCATTGTGTGATGTATATTTTTGTTCCTTTGTAACGTCGGGTGATACTTTTGTTTTCATAGCGAACACGGTGCCTCTGTCGATGTGCCTTTCTATCTCTGTACCAGGCTCTCTTATTCTAAAAAAATGAGAGGAAAGAAGGAAGAGGGAAATATTTAAGAACTTTAAGATATCCAATGTTATTAGCCTGAAGGTGTGAATCTGCAGACTCCTATAGATACAATACTCCACCCCAAAAACATGAAAGAAAGGAATACAATGTCTGGTATCACTGCTCTGTTATCATAGGCGTTATCATATTATATCACACATTACAAGGAAAAAGAATATCACACGATGATAAACAAATTCACGCAACAAAGGTTATTGACTTCAGGTGATCAAAATAGATGAATTTGAAAACTCCCATGGAATATATGTTTTCATTTCTATATCTACTACTCATTAAACAGTTCGTGTTTAAGCAATTGATATCAATGATGTTTCATTGTTACTTTCCTATTCACAGAACATTTTCCGTGGAAGGATACTATACCTGATTGATTTATATACAGACGCGTACGCAGGGGGGGGGGGTGTTTTGGGGTTTGCCCCCCTCAATTTGTTTTTGAAGAAAAGAAATGAATACTCCCTACCCCCCCCTCCCCCTCCCCCCCCCCCCCTCCCCTCCCTCCCCCCCCCTCCCCCTCCCCCCCCCCTCCCCCTCCCCCCTCCCCCTCCCCCCTCCCCCCTCGCGAAATCTCGGTCGGTGCGATTTCCAAATGTTCAAACACCCTCCTTGAAAAAATCCTGCGTACGCCACTGTGCATAATATATATGTGGAGCTTTACCTTACGAAGAACTAGACAGATACATTTTTGTCTGAATGGGAAAAGAGGTAGGTCATGTTTACTCTTTACAAAAATGGAAACAAAAGAAGTTCTTAAACCTCCTTTTTTGCTTAAATTGCAAAGGCTGAGACATTTTCCTGGCCTTTGCACACACAAAAGTAATAATAATAATAATAATAATAATAGTAGTAAAGGACAGCAATTTTGATAGAGCTACGCACCATTGTTCTCTTTATTTCAGTTTTCCATTGCTGTCCTTCAATCTTCTAATGAGAATGTGCTGAATATAATCCCATCATCAGGAGCGGGTTTTTTTCCTCTTTATATCATGTTATTTTTTGCACTGATACCTCACAATATTTAAATCAACATTTAGACCATCACACCCAACTGCAAGGTATGAAGCTTAAGCAATATCTTGTGTGATGTATGAAGAGAAACGAATATTGAAAGTTTCCCTGATAATGTTATCACGATGTAGGTGTATATGCCGGTTCAAGGTCACCTTCCCCGGACAACTTTACCTCCGGATAACTACCCCCTAGGACAACTACCCCCGGGGTCCGGGGGAATTGTCCTAGTGGGTAGTTTTCTGGGGATGGATATCCAGAGGGTGGATGTAGGGATACGGTATATACTAATGTCTAAAACAAATAATTTCCGCTATGGGATTTCTCTTTGAAGGCGCCCTTTTTTAAGAAAGCGCCCTTTATTGTTGGTGCCTCACGGGTTTTAGGCATTTAATTACGGTCGGATGAGCATATTTTGATACCTTATTTGTGGCACTGGCAGAACACAAATTAGCGTCGGGTCCAGGGGGCGGATTCGCCAGAAGCTCAGGGGTTTTGGGCATTAAATTACCGTCAGATGAGCATCCAGGGACCCGCCTTAGGGCACTAAGTGGTGTCTATGGGGCAGAGTCCTCGGAAGCTCAGAGATTTAAGGCGTTTGATTACGGTAAAATGAGCATAATCACTGACAGGACACTTTGGCGTAAGGTCCAGGGGACGGAACCCCCATAAGCCCAGTGGTTTTAAGCATTAAATTACCGTCAGATGAGCATCCAGGGGCCCGCCTTAGGGCCCTGGGTGTATTTCAGTGGGCAGAGCCCCCGGAAGCTCAGGGGTTTTAATCACGGTCAGATGAGCATTTGTACCTCATTATTTTTGTGACACTGGCATGTCACTATTCTTTCTTTCTTTCTATTTCTCCTAAATAAACTTTTTCCAAAAAACAGTGTGGGGGAGCACGTGTACCCCGAGCCCTACCGTTTCGCGGGCCCTGACATGCAGGCCTCCACACCTAATTGTTGGCGGGAAAAATTGCAACTGATATCCCCTACATTTCTTCTTCCTCTCTTTTTATTTCCCTTTCCATTGCCCTTCCTTCTCTCTCTCTCTCTCTCTCTCTCTCTCTCTCTCTCTCTCTCTCAGTTTGCTGGACGGGGAGGGGAGAGGCAAGGGCCTGTTGCCCCCCTACCCGATCCACACGTTGTTGGCGGGAAAATCGGAACTGATATCCGGCCCCTTCTTTTCATTTCTTCTTCTTCTTTTTTTCTCCTTCCCTTTATCTCCTCTTTTTCCTTATTTCTTTCCCTTTCCTCCCTTCTCTCTTTTTTTTCGACTGGGGGGTGGGGGGGGGGGACAACCATCCTCTAGGACAAGGCTCTTTCGGCCCCCCCCCCCCTCCCCCTCGATCTCCTGTTTCTTCCCTTTCTTTTCTTCTTCCTCTTCTTTCTTTCCTAGCTTTCTCTCCTCTTTCCCTTTCCCTTCTTCTCTCTCTCTCTCTCTCTCTCTCTCTCTCTCTGTCTCTCTCTGTCTCTCTCTTTTTTGGGGGTGTGGGGGGAGGGGCGTGGGGGCAAGACCTGCTCGCCCATGGATTCACGCTTGAACCCCCCCCCCCCCCCGGTTTCCACGCCAGTGTCTGTACTAGTCTTGTCCTTTCGAGACCATGATGTTTTTACTAAGTCGATCGCCCGTAGCTACAGCTAGCGTATATTCTCATCCTTCATTACTCAGTTAATGACTCACAGATTACATCAATAACAAACTTTATGGGAAAGCCTGCCACACCGACCTAGAATGTAGAATTAAATTTGATCCCTAACCTGCATGAAGCTTTGCCTTTTTGCCCCATGCCCGGACCGATTCCCTAGGTTGAAAAAACCAGAGATAAACTAAATAAGGCAAATGCTCTGGAAAAACCTAATGGCAAATCGTCCCAATAAAAATAATCTATTTGAATCTCTATACCTAAACACCAAACTATTGTTCTGTATTAAAATTTCCACTTGAAATTTGTGTCGTGTATCTAGTGTCTGACAAAGCTAGAATGGCTACCACGCCCATTTCCCTCTCTTATTATGCCTTTCTGAACATTCCTTTCCTTCTCAATACAATAACTTACACCTGCCTAAGTTATTCAAACCATCCCGCTTCGCGGGATGGTTTGAATCATCTCGCCACTCCCATTACGTAATCATTAAACGGATCCGCATATACAACATTTTCCTGCTATACGTTGTACCGCAGGAAAATACAAATGTGTACAGCACAGCACAGGGGAATCCCCTATAGTCTATATGGGAATCGCTATACGAATTCATAAACTGGATCTGGAGCTATAGATGTAGCCACTCGTACTCCAGCAAAATGCTATCTGAAGGAGAAAGGAACGGGGTACGGAAACTCTTAAGAATGATTTCCACAGAGGATCTTGTTCAACTTGCAAAAACTGTAACAAACAGGCTTGTTTTTGTTGAAAACAGAGAAGGTATGTAATATAATTCTGGTATGCTGTCCGTCAATCCTCGGTCCCATGTGTGTAGATTTGTGTAAGACAGAAATTAAAAAAAAATAATAACAAGTGAAGTGTCACACCAGCTTAGACTTCATGTAGTTGTCAAAGGTTTATTGATCATCATGACCCTTTTGAATATGTCAAGCGAATGATTAGTTTACTCTTCTTGCTTTAGAGATGTGAGTCTTGCCTAGCCCAGCTCAGAGTCTTGGCAATCAATTCGGCCAGTTAAACAATTTGCCACAAAAACTGTGCACATTGCATTGCGCAAGTAAATTATATCGTGCTTGCTTCGATGTTGTTATCCCATTTACATTAGTGCAACAGTAGACTAACTGTTCTATGTACATGCATGTACTCCCACTTGTGCTTTGGCCTAGTATATTATGAGTATGAATGAGTGTAAAATGCAAGGAATTCAACTCACTAATGTTAAAAGACATAATTCTATGAAAATAATTTTTAATTTACACTCATACTCGTAGGCCAGTTTTGAATCCATGTTAAGCATTCACTGCTGCAGTAGTGTAAATGAATACTAATTATATCTGTGTATATACTGACTAAAAATGTGCTAGATGACAGTTGATAACATGATTCTTTAACTATACCCTGCCAAAAAATTAGAATGTTTATATCCTTACTTATTTTTATCCTTTTCTTTATGGTAGAGGCTGCCAAGGCAATCATAATGTATTCTGACAGTGCAGAACAGTTTCTCCGCCGCAAGCTAGTGAAGCGAGATTTAATCTTCATTTACCTTGCTGATCTCAATGTGCCTATGTCACCTGGTGCAGATAAGAGCAAGCTTATTCAAAGGGTGCTGGAGTGTTGGCAGACTACGGTTGATGATCCGAGTCGCGGGCAGATTGCTGGTAATGATACGAGGCAGATGACGGATGATTCGAGGCAGACAACGGATGATACGAGGCAGACGACGGACAATACAAGGCAGACGCGGGATGATGGTACGGGCCATCCTCCATCGTGCCAGGATCTAGCGGTACACTTCTCCTCTTGGTTCTTCACGCAACTCAACCAACTTCACCCTCAGCATCCCTCGGGAACCACCAGAGACTGGGGACCCAGGCACTTCTTGGACGATGCCAGCCTCAAACTTTATGTCCTCCGCGGAACCGACCGCAGCTTGGACGCATACGGCGGCTCGGGCTTGGTCTCACAGAGATTAGGTTGCCTGGTGAAGGAAGAAGAATTGGTGTTCAATCCAAACTTGTCTTCGGAGGGTACTCGAGGGTGCGGTGAGCCGCATGGACTGGTTATGATCTCGGTGTGTGGGACAATTCACAAGGCGGGAACGTGTATAGGACTCTTTGAGCAAAACTTTGGACTCGTCAGAGATCCCATGGCAGAGAATAACTGGAAGATTAAATTCATCAAATTGCAAATGAAGGAAGAGTCGTCAAGGAGTGTACCAAAATTAGGACAGTTCCCTCAACTTTAAACGCTACCACAATGTATGTATGTAAAGGCAGGTTTGGCAGTAGACTGAAAGCTTCAGTCTCTAGTATCGACGGTCGTTTGGCTGAGAATATGTCTTGCTCCACAGAGACTGAACATACAGAGACTGAAGTGCATCGTACAGGTTAGTAAGAGGAGGTTACGCAAGGAGATCTCATCTTGCGCAGCAGCAGCTTTAAGAAAAACGGACAGATTAACTGAAAGTCAGTTCTTATATTTTGATGTTTTACATTGATTTTTTATGTAAATTGTATCAATATATAATTTTCATTTAAAATTTGGAATGCCATACCGAGCAAT